CCCCCCTCCCCTAATCACCTTGTTATTCCGCGTCCTCATCCCCCCAGCTCTGCCCTTTCCCCACACACCCTTGACATAACCGATTAGAGAGCTCTCTATCCTAGACACGCGTCGGTCACGACCTAAGCACCCCTCACCAATAACGCTCGTCGTCCGCACGAGAAAGTAACAAGGAAACACTGATAAATGCACTTCAAAGGGATAACAAATGACGTTGCTGTTTCGGTACGGTCATACTGCACGCACACCGATGGCCAGCGTTTGACAGACGACGAAATTAAGACGTCTCTATTCCAGACGACAGATCATCAAAATCAGAAACAATCATCAACCTACAGGAAAATCTTAGTTTTAGTAGAGGTTTTACGGAGCTCGCAACTGCATAAGGTCATAATGAGTGCCAGAAGATTAAAGGTGTTACAAGAGAATAACAAATATGAGAAAAAAGAAGAAGGGGAGATAAAGATGATAGATGTTTCATAGGAAAGAAGAAGCAAACCACACCAGAGCACCCACCAACCACCCACTCAGGAAAAGCTCGATTGTTTCCACAATTAAAAGAGCGAAAAATCGTTCATAGAAGTTATCCCAACGAACCAGTTCATGTCCTGCCAGTTGATAAGTTTGTTGATTTTCCCGAGTTCGGCGGCTGGCAACAGAGAAGCTGCTTTGGGCGGAGGGCAATTTTGAACTATTTCGCAGTCTGTTAAAAAAGGCCAGACCATAAAGAACAGCAACCTGCTGCTTTCGATAACGGAGGAGAAAAGGGCTATTCAACTAAGACCACCAAAAGACAATCACAGAGAGACATTTCTCAAGAACAAAAACGATTGAGAGTATTTCCAAGTACTGTCTTTTAAAACTAAAATAAATTTGAGGTGAGTTAATCGCCTGCACTCCTTAATACATCAAACATTTCGTTTAAGACCCTGTTTGCGTCTCAAGAACACAAGACCAACACTGTCAATTTGGAGCCCACCAAGCTTTTGGTGCGTTCAAACAGAGGACGATGAGTGTATAGAGCAGTGCATAGTTGGCTGTGAAGTGGACACGTGAGGAGGAAGACAGAGAGCACCCTTCTTTCTGACCCTCTCTACCTGGGGCCCGAAAAAACGGGAGCTCCAAATCCGTTTCATGTCTTTTGTTTCGTTAATGTTTTTTTAGAGCCAAGTTCGTGTTCATTCAACCAACTGTGGCAGGGTTAGTAATTGGCATTATAAACATTAATTGGAGCGATGACTGCGCTGCGCAAAGTTCGTCCTATTAAAGCGAACTGTTTGTTTGTTTGAGTAAAGGGAGGCACAATAATGGTCACTTAGTGCTGAGAAAAAGTAAGACAGACAGACAGAAACAACAGAAGGAAAGTAAAGAAATGGGACCTACCAGTGGCAGCTCCAACCACCCGCTATCAACAGTGTGGGGGCCAGTAATTCAGTAATTGAAATTATTAACACAAATTCGCGAAGGGATTGTAGTCTTAATAATGACAGCTGTCGTTGTTCTCCAAATATGTTATCGTGGTGTTGTGCTTACGTCCAGCTCAAGCTCTCCGAGTATAGAGACAAGACAGAAATTAGTCGGCACGCTTTCCCTACGCTGAGCGCTGAGCTCTACGAGCTGTGTAAACCGCACAACCTATCCTCCACTGGAGCGGAATAATCCTCTCTACAGACAAGGAACTATTACGGCTGTGTCAGGGTGCCTTAGGTCTGAGTGTTATGGTGGGCAGTTCTTTACGTGGTCTATACAGAAGCGACAATGAGGAGCTCTTCTGAAAAGGCTCTATATGGTCTTGCCATTTCTTGTTCTACGCCTAAAAACAGAAACCGCGGGTGAATATCCTGAA